TCTGGCTGTCAGTGTGTGTGTGTGTGTCCTTTGTGCAATGTCTTTACATGTCCTTTCCGCCTTGTCTACGTGTGTGTGTGAGTGGGTGCTGTGAGCTATATTAAATATTTTTGCTGCTCGCATTCAAAGCAATTGCGAACTGCTTTTCATTTGCAGTCACCGTGTGCGTCTGGAACTAATCTCATAAATCCCAAAGGTAAATATACACAAACAAGGAAAAACGCTTAAAAAGAACTTCAAAACTTCTTCACTCGGCTGGTATATGTGTGTCACATCAGCCAAAAAGGAAAAGACAAAAAAAAAAGGAAAGGAAGCGGTGGTTTTCCGCCTGGCTGTCACTCTATATAAATAAATGCACGTCTATTTATATACATTTTTATTTACTCGCATGCCCCGAGTGGAAATGCATTTTATTTCCATTTAATTTGCGGTCTGTAGCGCTCTGCAACTAAATGTTTTGACTTCGGACATATCCTTGATACTCGGGCCGAAATAAAGAGAAGAAAACGTGTGGAAATGGGACGACTATCTCGAGGGAATTCACAGTACAGCTCACACACGAAATGTATTTACACAGAAATCTATATAAATGCTTAATATCAAATGCAAATATTCGGCTAGCAAATTCCACCGAGACATTGACTATTCAAATCGATTGAGTTTTCTTTTACTTTCGGGCAAATAATCGAATAATTTTCGACTCCATAAACAGAGTGCCTCGGGGGGGGATTTTGCCAAATGTATGAAAATATAAGGAGGCCAACAGGCATTTTCTGAGTTCATAAGTGTCCGGAGGATTGCAGTTGTCTAAGTTATACAAAAAAGCTGGAATACCTCGGTAATCGGATGATTTATCATACTTTCCTAGGCGAGGGATATGCACCAAATTATCGATTTAATTTTTTAAATTTGTAATTTATTTATATAAATATAGTGCCATTTTTTTGAGCTTAATTTATACAGGACAATTTGTCAAATACTATATTTATTGCTTATCAACAAGTAACATTTAAAAAAACTACTTATCCACAAAAAAAGATTCTTGCACTTAACACAATAATAATGATGGTCCATTTTGAGATGCGTTTCAGCAAATAAAAAGGAATATTTTGGCTGAAGGTGTTTAAATTGATTACATGTAGAAACAAGTGGAACAATCAGCTAAGTTTTTCTCTAAATTTTTCCATTTCATTTTATTGTTCTACTCCATTTGTTGCGCAAGCCATTTTCGATTGAACAACATGGAGAAAAATGTGGGAGTCTGTGTGTTTAGAGCGACAACGCTAAGTGTTGGGCTATGTCAACACCCAAAAATATCCTTTTTAGCCCCTTGACACCCCCTTCGAAGGTCCTGTTGTGTGTGCGACTTATTTGCTGAGTGACACACGAATTCGGTTCGGCGACAAACGCCTCGACTTTGACTGGCCCCAAAGTTATTGGCTGTGTGGGCGGGGTTAGGGGTTTAGGTATTCGTATTCGTATTCGTATACGGGTTGCGTTTCCCAAGGATGTTTGAGTTGTTAAGCTGCTTTGGGGCCCTCAGCCCTCTCACATGTGCTGCAAAGTGGTCAAGAGCGTTGTCCATTCAGTGTTCACTTTGTTGTCCTCCTTTCATCCGCTCCTTTCGCAGCTCCTTCGTGCCCATCCTGTCATGTTTTCCGTGTGTATTTCTCTGCAATTTTTATGTGATACTAAATTTTGTGTGTGTGGCGGAAAAACGAATCTGCAATGTGCATCGTCATTTGATGGTCGAATACATTTTCCTTTCCCTTTTTTATTTTCTGGCACAAGGAAATGTGATAGCGGGATTTTGTCGAAAATAGCAAGCGATCTTAAGTGTCCTGGCAGGTTAAAGTTATGGTGCTTGGGTGCTGAACTTATTGAAATTGATTCTTGGATTAAAGGAATAACGTATTTTGTATTGAATATTCAAATAAGTATTATTGGAATAAGTGAAAGACTTAAATAACTAGATACCAGGAATGTCAAATAAAACTAAAGTTTTAAGCCATATTATTAAATTATAATTACATTTATTTCACTGGGTTAAGGGCGCTTTCAATAAAGCTTTACCTCATAGTAAATTTTTGAATGAACACAAAATTATTTTGGTGACCCTAATGGGACGGCTTAAAAGGCTTGGCCTGATCCTTTAACCCCCCGATGACCCCTTGCTCTTCCTTAGACTCGAATTCCCTTTGTGCGATTTTATATTTAACCTCTGGTCGCTTGTTTCTTTTTTAGCCCCTAAAATAATTTGATACACATGCGAAGGTTTCTGGCATCTCGCTCATTTGCTGGCCCTCTCACTCACTCGGCCACATCATAAATATGTTCGCCCAAAAGTGCCGTTTTGTCACTCTACGTCTCCCTCCATCTCGCTTCCTCCTCGCTTCCATCTCGCTCCCACTCGGTGCGGTTGTTGTTGGCCTTGCATAGAAATTACTTTTACTAGGGAAATGGGATTTTCCTTGTTTTTCTCTTTGCAACACTGCGGCGATTATGCGACGCCAAAGCAATTTTTGACTAGAGCGAGAGGGGGATAATACGAAAGACAGAGAGGGGCAATATGGGTAAGCTTACAATCTTATGTGGTTTTTGTTATGCAAAGCAAACTATTTTTATTATACTAAATTTAATTCCCAAGCATTATTTTAAGAGTTTATCTTGAACAATAGCAAACAATATAGGGTTATTTTTATAATTATGACAAAAATATGTAATTTTCTGTGTGTTTGCCTTAATTTTTTCATTTTTCTTTTCGTTGCATTTAATTTGATTATTTTTTTTTCTTATTTGTGTTTGCAATTTGCAATTTTCAACACACAGAAGTTGCATATGCAGCACACGTTGCGTATGCGTGATGTCAGCAAAGATTAATTAATGAAACAAACAATCGAGTGCGTAAGCGAGACAGACTTTATGGATAAAGAGCGAGACAGCTATAGAGCATAATCATTAAGAGTAAAACGATTAATTGCTCAAAAAATTACGACAAAAAAGGCATTAAAATTTAATTTACATTTTGTATTCACGCATCGCTTAGTTATTAAACCATTGGGTACAGTAAAATCCAGTAAGAATAAAGGCTTAATAGTTAAAAACAATTAAATCTATATATTTTTTCGGTAATCGAAACTAATTAGCTGAACTTAGGGAAAATAACAGATTTTCCTAACGAATTTTTTTGCTGTTTTTGCACCCTAATGGCTGCCCACAAATTGAATAATTGCATGAGTTACACACAACGAGAAAAAAACAGTGAAAATCAACCAAACGCTTGTTAAATTTCCCACGCTTCTTGAAAGAAGCACAAAAAAAAAGCATAAGAAAAACGGTGACAGAAAAAAAAAGGAAAATTGCGGGGAGGAGACTGTACACATTCAAACAAAATAATGATAATTGAATCAAATTGCATGTCAACAGTGGATTAGCAAAGCAGGAGAGCAGAGAGAAAAATTATATAAAAATTGCATTGCATTGAAATGATTATTTGAGAAAGTAGCAGTGAAATTGCCGCAGAAGCCGCAACTTGTCCTTGTTCCCACGCACACACTCCATATGGGTTTAAATAAAACAAGATATATACACTTGTACGTATCTATAAAATATAGATACAAACTCATTTGGGGCTGGAAAAACCAACAGCAGACAAATGAAGAGGCGAAGAATGAAACTCTGGCCAGAGAAGCCCCTAGAGAAAGGCGTGGAGAAAGGGAAAAAGAGACGGAAAAGGGGAGAACGGGTTAAAGGAAGAGGGGTCGTTGGCAACATGGGTTAAAGTGCTCGCTTCTCTCCGCAAAAAAAGAGATGATAGAGTGGGTTAACCCATGTCCTGATGAGGCACACTTCGCTTACTCTCCCTTTCCCATTTCATTTCTCGGCCTTTCTCTCTTAAAAACAATGAACTGCAAATTGTGCGCAAATTATATAAAAAAATAAACAAAAAATATGGCCAGAGTAGGGCAACAAAAATATAAAGAATAAATAAACAAGTAAACAAAAGGGCAACCAAGTAAAACCAAATAAAAATGCGGCAAGGCAACAGAAATTCAGTGAAAGAGCAGCCCCGAATGAGTCAGCAAAAAGAAGTACATTTCGCATAATGCACCACACGGCGTATGCTTGATATGTGAAGCATGCCAAAGAATAAACACAAAATTAATGGGAAAAGAGAGCTTAACAAAAAACATGAAAATAATTTTCCAAAAGTCAAGAGTGATAAGGAAAATAAATAAATTAATTAGAAACTCAGACGGAATGGCAATTAAGAGAACAGCAAGTTCTTTTTAGCAAAGTATACAAAAAGTATACGTATTAACAATTGAAATTACAATGGCAATACAAGAAGTCCTGAAAATTGAAAAAGAACAATAAAACAAAATGACTTTCCCAAAGTGTACATTTGTTTCGATACTTTTCTTTGAGTTAGTGAAATAATTAAATCATTTCTAAATTAATTATATTATTAGGAAACAAAGACATTACGAAATTAATGTAAGAGATGATTTTAATTTTAATAGATATACAAAAAAACTCTACCACTGAAAGTTATAAATAACAAAATTATATTTTGCTATCACTATGGGCAGAGAATAAATCTGCTAAAAGCAAGCACTTAGCACCCTTTTCAATTTCATCGATTTAAGTTGTGATCCAACAGAACCAACAGCCACTTGCCAAAGAGAAGCCGCTTCTTGAGACATTAAGCAAATATTGAAACATAAATTTCAATTTGTGTTATTTTTTTATTACAGCGATGTTTGTTTATTACTCGGGCATATCAATTTTGCCGGTGAAAGATTAAATAAACACAAATGTGAGTCAGAAACCGGGGTTCAAGGAGTGGGTTCCGGAAAAGCACTCTGCCCCTCGGAAAAAGTGCATTGGCATATTAAGCGTCTGTCTGCAGGGCAAAAACTCCTACTCAAATACAAACAAAAAACAGAAAACAGCAAAGCTGAAAACAGAAAACAGAAACAGGCAAACGTGTGCACATTTTATTTTATTTTTACGATTTTCATGTCTGAAAGTTTTCTTTCAATGTTTCTGTGTGTGGCAACAACGGCAAGAGGCAAAAGTTTCAATTTCTGCAATTGTTGAATTTTTGCACGCACAAGAAATAAAGATGAACGAACACACCCATGCGGGGTTACCTCTCGGCACATGCAACGATAATGTGAATGACCAGGGACCAGGGACCAGAGACCGGAGACTCTCGGAGACCAAGTACCCAATACCGAATATCCAATACCGAATACCCAATACCAAATGCCGAAGAGCTGCCATATTGACAATGGGGCTCGAGTCGAACGCGCCAAGTCGCAGAAAATGGCAAAATCCCAGAACAGTGGGTCAATCCCTAATAATTTAAAAGGACATCTTCAAAAAGGCAAGACTGATCAACATTTAAAAAATAAATTCATTTATTTTTGAGTCAAATAGAAGAGGCTAATCTAAATACATCAAAATTGTAATTTTATTAAAAGAAATTATGTTGCCAGTATATAGTAAGCCCTGATATTGTTTTAATCGCAAATTAATAATTTATGGTTGCAGTAATAAAGTCAAAAATGTGACTATTCAAGAAGTCTAATAAAACATTAACGTCCGCAAAATATTTATACAGCAAATCAAATCCAAAACTTAATGCAAAAAAATGTGAGAGAGTAATCAACAGAGACGCGAAAGAATGTAAGGAATTTAACGCCAGGGAAAATGGAAAATGAAATATATATAATAGTGTGGATGAATAAGCCCAGACAGTCGTTTAAAACCGGTTTCAGAAATTCACGCCGCCGCCAATAGACCTTGAACCACTGTGACTGGTGGGTCGGTCATAACCGGGCTCAATGCGAGCCAGTTGCATTTTCCATTGGCCATTGGCCGTTGGCTCGAGTACGTGCTGGAAATGAGCAAAAGTCTCAATTCGAGTGCCTAATTAAATCAGCATCACCTCACCTCCTCGTCCCCCGTCCCCACCCACTTTATGAGGTCGACTGCAGTCGATCGATCGAACGATCGAACAGGCGATCGTTCCAAATTCAATTATTTCAATAAGCCAAAGTGTCAAATGCTGAATGTCCCCCAAAAAAAGGGAATTCAATTGAATAAAGAGATCGTTAAAATTAAATCTGTCTGAATACATCTTATAATTATAAAGTGTGAATGCAAGAGTTCAGTAAAAAGTTCAATTTTCGGATTGATTAAAAGCAGTTTACTAGTGTGCTATAGAAAATCAGTGAATTACCATTTGCCATAGCAAAACTCAAAATTTGATAAGCTAGATTTGTTTAATTTAAATTTCAATAATATTTCAAATCATGCAAGTAGTTGAAACATAAAATGGAACTCAATAGAAATCAAAAATGTTATCGATTTGACTTTTTAAAGTCTCGCATTTTTTCTCAATTTTCCAGTTGATTTTTTTTTCTTTCTTCCTTGACACAGTTTCCCCCGAATTCATTATCACTTTTCCAACTGGTTCATAGTGTACACACCTATCTTTTCGTCTATCTCTCGCATTTTCCCCCTTTCTTTCTGCGTATCAATTATGAGTCTTTGACTTGGTTTTAGCTCTTAAAGCCAAGCCAAGAAAAAGAAAGAAAAAAAAAACAACCCACCATAATAACCGAACAATTTCCGCTGTTTGGCGGTGGAAAAACGAGTTTTTCTTGACTTTGACTGTGACTCCTTGGGCTTGTTTTTTTTTTTTTGGTTTTGGCTTTGGCTTTTCTTTTTAAGGCGATTCGGTTATTAAGTTGGCGAACGGGAAGCCCAAACCCGGCCGCCCCTTCCTGTTGGATTTGCATAACCTGCTGCCGCCGGGTCTTCTATTTGTTTAACCCCTCGAAGAAATGGACAAATCAATTTGCTTGACAACCGCACAGAACACACACAACACAGCACCCACCCACCCACTCACACACACACACTCACTCACTCGGTCGAAATCGAATTGAGTGTTGATTTATTGGCCATGATCTGATTTTGAACAAACAAGAAAACCCATTTAGCGACATGTCCAGGAATAAATAACCATGCAAAACTAAAAAACATAAGGGAAGGGAAGGGGAGAAAGAGAGAGGAGGACCGGGGAGCGAGTGAGAGGGAAGCATGTCAAATGGCGCACATAAATCTAATTGAATTAGCGTACGAATATCAAATCAAAAAGCAAGAGCACCCCAAAAATTGACACTTTAAATCAAAAGACCGGGCAAGTGTGAAAAGCATAGAGTTGAATGACCGCCGATCGTTGACTCCTCTGAGAAATACTATATATATATATGTTCATGCACATTTATGTGCAATATTGGTCAAATTATTTGGCCACGACTTTGATAAATTCGATTTTAGACGACGGAGATGAATGAGATGAAAGGCTTTTAGAAATGGGTCACTTGTACAGTCTTGGGCTCTGCACTTTATTTTCAATTATTACATTTTACAGAAATTAATTAATTAGCAGATAAACATAGCGTGAACAAGAAGAAAAAAACATTATATTGCCCTTAAAATATATTGTGTAGTAATGTTTAATTATTTTATATGGGTTTTACCAATAAATTGGATCCAACAAATTTTTACAAAGCAAATCATACATTTTAAAAACTTTATGCAATCTGTAAGTCTTGTAGTATAAGCTAAGTGTATATCCCAAGATAAGTACTTTAGAGGAGTTCCAAGTGCCACTAAAAAAGCAGTCTTAAAATTTGTGTAAAGCCACTAGTAATTAAGTCGGCATTGTAGTGAACATGACTTTGAATTTAAAGTCAATTAAACTGTTCAATTGTTCATAAAACATTTGGCTGCACAAACAGTGGGCCACAAAAGTCAGTCGAGCGGATAAAAACGCAGTGTAAGAGGAGGTGACAATGGAGACGGCAACTTGTTCGTTCTTTTTGGGTTCCCTGAATTATTTAGCAATTTAGTCGATGGAAAACCCCCTCCCCCTCCCCCTACCCCTCTCAAAATGTCACATTAACACTGCTTAGCAAGCAGTCGAACACGTGTCTGACAAGAGAATCTTCTTCAACTATCCATCAAAAAGTGCCCCAGCCACACGAAAAAAGGCACCATAGATGGTATCCACATATATATATATGTTCCATTCTCTTCGCATCAGTCATGCCTCGTACCATCTCTTTCTTTTCGCCCCCGGCCGTCTCTTTCACACACGCTGCGTAGACAAATGCTAATAGCATGGCAAATTTAATTTTCACACTCACTTTGTGCGTTTGTGCTCGGCTTTGTGTGTCTCTATGTGTGTGTGTGAGTGTGTGCGGTTGTGCGAGTGTGTGAGAAGTGATTTTGGGTATGCTTCTTCTTCGCGCTGCGGCTTTAATTGAATTTGCTTCGTTTTTGTTTTGCTGTTTTATTAGTTACAATTTTTGCGCTCAATTATGCGAACGTTAATTCCATTTTTCAAAGCTACAGTAGGGATTCGATTCGAAGATTTATGTGAAAAGGGCCCGAAAGCTAATGAAACCTAAGCAATTTTTTTATAGGGATTATTTAATGCCCAAAAGAGTGCTATGAATTTTCAATGTTAAGAAGCATATAATTTAAGAATTTTTTATTCAAAATATTTGTGTTTTCAATTATAATTTAAAATGATTTTCATTATACAAAAATCTAATTCACTTTTATCAACTTATTATACATTTTTTTATTAGGAAAAAAACACCTTTTTAAAAATCGTACTCTTTGCTTAATCCGAATTAAGCTGAAAAACTCACAAAATTCAATTTTTTTCTTTCGAAAAGTTAATGAATTTACACTTTCTTGTGTTTACAATAAATAAATTGATCTGTTCAACATATTGAATTTCGACTGTGAGTCTGTCTACCTATGTTTCATGTTTTCTAGATTTTGTTGATGCTTCTTTGCTTGTTGTTTCTATCTCTCGTTTTTTGTTTTTGTTTGGAGTGAATTTTTGCGTTTGGTGTAAGCGCCATTTAAGCCGACGGCAGCTGTCAGTGGTTCCCTCCCTTTCTCGCCCGCTCTACGTGTCTCTCTCTAACTGCGAGTGTGTGTGTTTGGCTTTATCTATTTCACCGTACATGCGTGGGTGTATGGTGCTTTTAATCGCTGGACGGGAACAGAAATAAAAAATGGAGTAGCAGCAGCGGCGTACTTACATTGCATATTGCCTAGTACGTATTCCCTTTGTGAATTCCCCTTTCATTTTTGCCATTTCTCCCACTCCAGCTGTTTTCTGCTTTAATAAACTAAGTTAGTTTGGATTTGGGTACTATTTTTATGCCATGTTTTGATATTTTCCTAAAATCCAAATAATAATCTGACAATTTACAAGCTCTACTCTGAAATGTAACTACATTGGTTGTTAATTCCATAAATGTATTCATTCGATATTAATATTATGTTTGTACGGTCGTGTATTAATGAAGTTTGCTATCTTACGCTAATAATTAAGCAGACTTCTGTGAAATGCAACTACATTGGTTGTTAAATACAGACCTACAAGCTTGAGCTGCCGTAAATGATTTACAAGACAAAATTTAGAAATTACGTATACGCCCTGCTAAACAGCTTCATCAGCGGAAACAGACCAATGTTTTGATTTAAGTTCCCTTGTTACATTCCTGTAATTATGATAAATATCTGCATTGAACAGCCCAGCAAATTGGAGCTGTCACATATCACGCATACGACTAGTTGAACAGTCAAATCACTCAACAATGTCAGCGGTTATTTTGGTTTTGAGTGCAAAGTTGTGTTTCAGCGAAACAGTGATTTTTGGCTGTCAGAAAAACACATACATATTTGGCCCAAGCAAATAGTTTATGTTACATAGCATTCTTTTAAAAGCGAAATCTTTTTAATAACTATCGTTTACCAGCTAAAAATGCTTGATAAAGATACAGTTTAACGCCTGCAGCATTGTGTCATGATAAAATATGTTTGCCCCTTTCTAAATCCTTCTTGGTTCAACCGCCTCCACTTGTTGTCCTTCTGGCATGCTTAAGTTTTTCTTTTTTTTTCGATTAATCCACTTTCTGCATTTTCTTGTTGTTGTTTGGTTGTTTTTGCTGTCGTTTTCGTTGGGCGGTCAACCTGACATGTGAGCCACAGGCACGAATACCAATGCTTAAATTGTGGCGTATTCGGTAGCTGCAGGCTTTAATGCACAAAACCAGAGTCACAAGACAGGATGGCAAAGGGGGATTTGCCATTTTCCCCCTGTTTAGTAGTGTGTGAAAAATGCGCGCCACAGCCAAACAAATTAACAACAACACTTGGAAAACGGAGAAGAAGAAATAAAATCCACACAACATACACACACACGAAGTGAATAAAAAATAAATAAAAAATGGTTAGAAATTGGAACAATGACCGCCAAGTGCTGCCAACTCTCTGTCTCTCTCTCTACCGCCGCCTCGCCCCCTCTCTTTCCCACATGGTTTTGGTTCATTCATACATTTTTGTAATTTTTTTTGTATTAACTTTTGTTTGCTCGTTTTCGTCTGCCGCCTTTTTTTCGGGCAGATATTTAAAGACTTGAATTTCACGGCTCTGGTTACAGACTTTTTTTTTTGGCCACAAAAAGTTGTTCATATATATTTTGGTGCTTAAAGAGCATTTGAATATGAGAAATTAGTTTTGGCACAGGAAAACTAATCCTTAATTTTAGTGGGAACAAATCAATGGTAAATATACGGAATCCTTTAAAAAAATTACTGATTAATTTACATGTGTTATTGTATTTTACACAACTATTTTGTCTTTGCCAGAAAAATATTTATTGTCTTTAGAAACATAAGCAACCAAAGGCGGTTTATTTTCTTAAATAAATTAAAAGAGCTTAACACTTCAAACAATTGAAAATTATGTAATTAAAAGTTTGGT